TCCTAGCACTTTGGGAGGCCGAGGTGGGTAGATCACCTGAGGTCAGGAGTTCAAGACCAGCCTGGCCATCATGGAGAAACCCCATCTTTAAAAAAAAAAAAAGGAGTTTGCTGAAATAGGGTCACAGGAGTATGTGTGTTGGGGGGGTCTTATGACAACTAATTTACTTTCATTTGGGGAGGAAAAAGAAAATGAGTTATAATAAAGTCTTCTTACATCTATTTCTTCAAGGCAAAAGAATGCATGTGCAGTTGTCCACAAGCCGGCTTCGGACTGCCCCTGGGATGGGAGACCAGAGTGGCTGCTATCGATGTGGGAAAGAAGGGCACTGGTCCAAAGAGTGTCCAGTAGATCGTACAGGTCGTGTGGCAGACTTTACTGAACAGTATAATGAACAGTATGGTGCAGTTCGCACACCTTACACCATGGGCTATGGGGAATCCATGTATTACAACGATGCATATGGAGCACTCGACTACTATAAGCGATACCGGGTACGCTCTTATGAGGCAGTAGCAGCAGCGGCAGCAGCTTCTGCATACAACTACGCAGAGCAGACCATGTCCCATCTGCCTCAAGTCCAAAGTACAACTGTGACCAGCCACCTCAACTCTACTTCTGTTGATCCCTACGACAGACACCTACTGCCAAACTCTGGCGCTGCTGCCACTTCAGCTGCTATGGCTGCTGCTGCAGCCACCACTTCCTCCTATTATGGAAGGGACAGGAGCCCACTGCGTCGTGCTGCAGCCATGCTCCCCACAGTTGGAGAGGGCTACGGTTATGGGCCAGAGAGTGAGTTATCTCAGGCTTCAGCAGCTACACGGAATTCTCTGTATGACATGGCCCGGTATGAACGGGAGCAGTATGTCGACCGAGCCCGGTACTCAGCCTTTTAAAAACTAGAGGTGAGAGAGGGGTGGGTATGGTTAAGAGATTCCATTTAGTTCCCCTGCAAGAGACCAATGCTTCATAGAGGAGGTTAGAGCCACCTGTTTGCTGTCCAGACAGTATCCAAAAGTATGCAAATTACAGGTTAGTCTTCAATATTTCTCTAGCTTAGGCCTTAAGTTCCATTTGGCCTGTCAAGCTGTTAGTATATGACTCCAACCAACTTATTCCTTCTGAGATAACAACAAATTCAATTTGTTAGTGAGAACGTTCTTTAATCAGTTGTAATATTTGGTTACAGAAAAACAAGAGATCTCTAACATATGTACACTGTTTACATCAACTATACAATAAGACTGAAAGGTTTTATTCTTTTATAGAGAAGGGAACTGGAGAGGTTTACTTTGCCCAAAGTCATTTGGTAAATGAAAGGTAGAGTTAGAATTCAAACTCAGGCCTGTCTGATTCCAAACCATATGCTCTCTGTGCTACAGAAGTACTGTAGTGGTACGCTGAAGGGTACAGGTTCAGGGGTTAGTAATGATTATCACAGTGAGAATTTTAACTATTATTTTAGGATTCTAGTTTGCTAATAAAACTGCTGTTTGAGGCCAGAGGCAGTGGTTCACACCTGTAATCCCAACACTGGGAGGCTGAGGCGGGGGATGACTTGAGCCCAGCAGTTCAAGACGAGCCTAGGCAACATAGCAAGATCCTGTCTCTACAAAGAAACTTAAATTAGCAGGGTGTAACCTGTGACCCCAGCTACTCAGAATACCAAGGTTGGAAGGATTGCTTGAGCCCAAGAGTTGTAAGAGGCTGCAGGCTGGGCATGGTGGCTCACACTTGTAATCCCAACACTTTGGGAGGCCAAGGCAGGCAGATTACGAGGTCAGGAGATCGAGACCATCCTGGCCAACATGCTGAAACCCTGTCTCTACTAAAAATACAAAAATAAGCTGGGCGCAGTGGCGGCGCATGCCTGTAGTCACAGCTACTCAGGAGGCTGAGGCAGGAGAATCGCTTGAACCTGGGAGGCAGAGGTTGCACTGAGCCAAGATCTCGCAACTGCACTCCAACCTGGGTGACACAGTAAGAAGACTCTGTTTCAAGAAGAAAAAAAAAAGGCTGTGGTGAGCTATAATCACACCACTGTGGCTGGGCACGGTGGCTCACGCCTATAATCCCAGCACTTTGGGAGGCCGAGGCAGATGGATCACGAGGTCAAGAGATCAAGACCATCCTGGTCAACGTGGTGAAACTCCGTCTCTACTAAAAATACAAAAAATTAGCTGGGCATGGTGGCGCATGACTGTAATCCCAGCTACTCAGAAGGCTGAGGCAGGAGAATTGCCTGAACCCAGGAGGCGGAGGTTGCGGTGAGCCAAGATCGCGCCATTGCACTCCAGCCTGGG